GATGCCTTGTTCTCTCCTAATCTAAGGCATTGGTTGGTGACCCAAGCTAGGCCAGTGAAACTCACTATCCTTATTCATTGAGTAGATTAATATATGAATGGGAAAAAAAATGTAGTTCATTTCTACCACTGGTGGTATCCCTTTAAAAATGCTAAATAGTTCCTGTTATCTCGGCAGCTTTATCTGGTTCTTCTTTTTCCAAATGTAGTTTTCCAGCACTTCTGTGAGCTACTCATATATTTCCAAAGGATTCATTTTCCATGTAGAATGGAAACAGTTTCTGTTTCCAGACATTGATTGCAGCCTGCAAAATGAAATGGCATGAAGCCTGGTACTCTGGTGCTCTGGAGCCTTGGATAGTTGGAAAAGCCAAGTTCTCTGCCTAATGATAAAGCTAGTATGATCAATAGGAGGAAGGTAGGAACCGCAGAAGGAAATAAGAAGCTGGCTCTCCAGGACCTTGCATGTACCTCTTGTTATGAAGTGTCTGATTGTCAAAGGGGATAATGACATTTACTGCAAAAATGCAGTTGGGCTATAGTTTGGGGTCAAAGGTCAGAATGGGCACGTCTCTCCATCCCACATCCCTGTTTATAATTGCTTTAGGCAGAGGCTAGGGAGATGGTCAGAACACTGAAGCTACTGCCTAGAAACCAGAATCCTCAGTAGATTCAAGGACATGATTAGTCAAGTTACTGACCTTTAGTTTCTAGTCTCTGGAATTGACAAGAAGCCTCCTAATAGTTTAAAGGAAGTTGCCTTCTCAGGTAGACCTCAAACTGGACAATAATGTCCTATGATCAGTGGTCAAAGGAGATCCTCCTAGAGGGCAGAATTAGGGGCTACCAGCGGGCTGACCAGGATACTCACTTCTCTTCCATGGAACAGTCTTGGTTATTTCTGTTTTGCAGGATATAGTGACAATGGTGGTGGGATGAGATATATTTTTTCTCTCCTTTACCAAATGCTAGTTACTGTAGTTACTTGTTCTCTCTCCAGTATTGATAATGGTTAATTTGATCATTTAGTCATAGATGCTGGCCCATCTAAACCTGACCAAGAAAAATGCACATCTTGGATTTGGCACTGCATGTAGAAATCTGATGAGGTTTGGGCTGTCTTCACTTGGGGAAAAAAATTGTATTTGGAGGCTGGTCAGCAAAAGGTATAAATGCAGTGAACATTTGTTGCTTTTTAATATCCCCTTCTTTCAGGTTTGTTTCCTCTTTTTTAGTTAACAGAGCCCTGATTCTATCTGAAGAAATGCCATTCCCCTTCTTCAGAGTCCAGTCTGTGGGCTCTGGGTGGGGCTCCACTCCGGCTCCATGGATGGAGCATGTGACCCAAGCCTCTCCAGTCAGCACCCTGGATATTCCTCACATGGGAACTGCTTCAAGGTCGTCCACCTAGTCAAGCAATTTCCTCACGACTTTGGGAACTACATAAGTCCACTCTGTATTTGAAAGAGTGCTATTGGGGCAGAGCTGATTTTATGGTTAGATTGATCAGATAATACCTAATTCCTGCTTGTCAGCTGGTGTACTAGGGTTAGACATTTCCCCACCACTGGCTTTGAGTCTGTCAGGCCTCTAGCTAAGGGAGTGGGCATGTAACCCAAGGCAGGCTAATTGGACTCTCTCTCTGGACTTTGCGTCTTGGGCAGAGTGCTGCAAGGGCAGGAAAAACAGATGCAGTCTATTTTCTCAAGCTGTGTTGCCTTTACAAGACTGTTGAGCAGTGATTGCTACACAGACTGTGGCCCTACCCAGTCTGTCTTTCTCTGAGCCTGGTTCTCCAGCCTTCCTATCATTTCTATGGCCAGTATCTTTCTAATTCACTCCTTTGTTGTTGAACTCATCCAGAGTTGGTTTCTGTGATTTGCAGCCCCAAGACTGTCAGGTAATGGACCCTTTCCTTTCCCAGGTTGCCTATTGTACTTTTGAAACTTCTCACTCCCTTCACACATACCCTTGATTTAAAGGGTGAGGAAGGAAGGACATAATAAGATTGGCTGGGGATGATCCTGCCTGCAATCCTAGAGAGAGCATTTGAGAACTGCCTGCCTTTGTAAATGGTGCATTATTTGAGGGTAATTTTAGCTACTTGTGAGGGAGGACAGGGGCTTATTTTTTCACAGCTCTGTCCCCAAAGTCTAGCCTGATGCCTGGAACAGCATCAGGGCATTCAGTATATATACACTAAGGCTATTCTCCCTTGGTCTTGTCACATTAGCAGATTTGTTCATTCAATAAATACTTGTTTATTGCTCACATGGAAATATAATGGTGAGCAATACAGATATGACATTTACTTCCCAGTGATACTGACTTTTAGTTGTAGCTGTGTGGCTCAGCTGTAGTAGATTGGTTGTTGAGAAATTGAGACTTAAAATGCAATAATATAGCAATAATATAGACTTATTCTCCTGAAGAACAGGAAGAATTATTACCTTGAGTGGGAGGAAACCCTGAATAGTCAGGGCAAAAGGCATTTCTAAGAGAGCAATATATCAATTATAGGCAATCTTTTTGTAACACAGCTCCTTCTATATCCATAGCCTGGGTTTGGTTGGGGCTGAGATGAGACAAAAGGGACTCTAGAGGAAATGAAGGATTCTTTTGGTCTCTTCTGCTCTGATATTGGGGTCTATGACTTAGATCTCTATTACTGAGGAGGAAGATTTGGGTACAATAATGTTCTAAAACAAAAATTGGGAAATTTTACTTGGTAAGCATATTCTCTTTTCTAATTTTTAAATTTAAATGTTTATGTGCAAGTCTTAAATAGACAGGGGTGCCTGGGTGGCTCAGTAATTAAGCATCTGCCTTTGGCTCAGGTCATGATCCCAGGGTCCTGGGATAGAGCCCTACATTGGGCTCCCTGCTCCATGGGAAGTCTGCTTCTCCCTTTCCCACTTCCCCTGCTTGTGTTCCCTCTCTCGCTGTGTCTCTCTCTGTCAAATAAATAAATAAAATCTTAAAAAAAGAGAAGATAGCCCAGGGAATTCAGACTTTGCTAGACTATCTGGGCTTATAGTCACTACGTTAGTCTTTTATTGTTGCATAACAAGTTCTCCAAAACTTAGCAGCTTAAAATGACACAAATGAATTAAGTCTGAGTTTCTGTAGGTCAGAAGTCTGTGCATGGAGGGTTTGAGGCAGCCGAAGTTGAGGTGTGACTAGGGTTTAGAGGATAAGGGGTGGGGAGGAGGTGAGGAGGAAGTGGCAAATCCTGAGGGTGGCGAAGAAAGTCTTGGAGACATTTTAAGGAATTCAGAGCTTATTTTAAGAGCAATGGAAAACCATGTTAGTGTTTTAATCAGGAGAGGGTCATATTTGCTTTAGAGTGAAGAGTGAGGCAAAGTCTCATCTTGAGCAATTGGTTGAATGGTGGTGACTTTGAGAAAGGCAGGGAATGCAGAGGGAAGGAACAGGCTTTTTAAGAGGGGAACAGAAAAATAATAAACTCAGGCTTGACCACATTTTATTTGAAGTGCTTGTAATTCATATAAGTGAAGATGTCCATGGACACTTGGGATACTGGCTAAAAGTTAGAGAAAGAGACCTGGGTTGGAGATGTAGACATGGGAACACATGAGAGGCTTTTTAACCTTTTAATACATGAAAAGCAGAGTGTCACGCTTTGAGAATCTAAAAAGTCATGGAACCTCTCCCCAGAAAATTACTGTAAATATATGGCTGGTATCTCTGTCTCAATATTGGGAAGTTGTGGTCATATTTTCATTGATATGACCCGAGAAGAAACATATCTGTATACTAATGGACTATAACATGAATGTATAAATGAATGAGGAAATGCAGAAAATGATAATCATCCCAAGATGTTTGTATCTGACCTGAACTTAGTAGGATTCAGTTATTGAAGGAAGGTATTTCTCTATGAAGGTTCTCCCCTGGGGGGAAATTGAGTCACACGTTCACTCAGCCCATATTTATTGAGCACCTACTATGTCCCAGGTATTGTTCTAGATGCACAAGGCATGAGACCAATTCTCTGTCCTTCTCTTGAGATGAATGCAAAGCAAAAGAACAAATAATACAATTTCAAAGAGTAATAGGTAATCTGTTGAAAATGAAGTGGGGTTAGGGGATGTGAATGGTTGTGGGAGTTCCATTTGGATGGAGTGTGCAGGAAGGACTCTCTGGAAGGGGCATTTGAGACCTGAATGAAGAGAAGTAGGCAACTATGATAAGGTGTGGGATAGAGCTTTGGAGGTAGATGAAGTAGGGAGAGAACACACTGGTGTGTATAAGGAAGGGCAAGCAGGCCATATGGAGGGGGGGGGAGTAAAGCAGAGTGAGAAGTGGGGAGAGTGACCGGTGAGGGGCCTAAGGGGGTTCAGGGAACATGGGAGTTTTAAGCACAAGAAAGTTAAAGTACTTTCTGGCGCTCTGTGAGTAATAGAGTATTCCTTTATTGTCATAAAGGCAGTCGCCTTACTCCAGAACTTCCTGTAACTTCTAGGTCCTCAAAGGTAACTGCCTACCTATTTGAAAGTGAACTCCTCTCAGGTTTTCTGGCAGCTATTACCTTAGGTCAAAGGCAGGTACAACAGTCAGCTACTGGGCGGACTAGGGTGACTGACCCTGGCGCCCCCTGGGGGCCGTTCTCACCGGCCAAGGCAGGCAGGCAGGCACCTCTGATCAGTGCCGCGACGCCCCCCAGGTCCTCGCCTCCCTTGGTGCTCGCCTTTTCACCCTCGGCGTCGCCTTTATCTTTCCCGCTTCCCGGGGAGTTCCTCAGTCCCCCTCTGCAGTCCAGCCCTCGCTGGTCCCGGCGGGATTTGAACTGAGCGTGTTTCCACCAGGGTTAATTAGCAGTTCGCACTTGGAGATCGCGATCCAAAACCCACCCTCTGGCCTTGCCCACCGGAAAGGGGGCGGGTGGGGAGTGCGAACCTTATCTCCCAGGCTCCGCCTCCAGGGGGCCGAGAGCGAGCTTCAGAGCCGCCGGCGTTCGGCACTGGCCGCTGCGGGCAGACGGGGCGACGGGGCGACGGGGCTCGGGGCGGAGGGCAGTAAACCCCACTTCAGCCCAGATTCTGCTCAGGTTGGGGCTGGTTGCTGCCTGGGACGGCCCCCGAAGCCTTGGTGCAACAGGCTGCTGGCTGCGACAGCCACCCTGACCCTAGACGCCGCTCCAGGTAAGGTGACAGCGGGGAATGACGCTGCCATTCTCCCCTCATCCTGCCAGAATGACAAACAGGGGGCTTAGGGCTGGCTGTCCCGGGGCAGCAGTTTGACATTTTGGTTGTCCTGAGGGTAGAGTTTCTCCCCGCACTGAAGCGCTTGGTGAACCGAGAGATCAACCCGGCACCCAGGCTGGAGGCTGGGATGTCAGGGTTTGTCCTACAAAGTTACTGGGTGTTAATGAATCATGGGAGGTTCGCTGCGTGCTGATTTCTGCCTCGGGGTCTTTGGCCCCGAGAATGCTTATTGTGCGGGATGTACGCCCCAGAGCCCATCGTCCCTTTGGAAGGGGCGGTGGCGTCCACACGTGGCGCGCCGGGAGCGTGGGCGAGTGCACAGGGCGGTGGACCGTGTGTGCGGCCCAGAAGTTTTTTTAAGGGTGCTGCACAGTACCGGAGCTTGGGAGAACTTTAAAAAACTTGGTGCTTGAGCAGCACCCTAGGCCAATTAAATCAGAATCTGTAGGAGTGGGACTTGGAGGCATCCACATTTAAAAACAGCTCTTCTCGGGTGATTTCCATGCAGAATAGTTTGGGAACCAGTAAGTTAAAGCAGTGGTTCTCAGAGTGTCATCTCTGGCCAGCAGTATAAGCATCACCTGGGAACTTTTTGGGACAATCTAGGGCCCAGGCTCAAACTCTAAGGTTTAGTTATCTGTGCTTGCATGAGTCCTCCAGGTGATGCTAGCATTTACTCACTTTTGAGAACCATTGGGTTGGATCTCAGTTAAGGTAAGGGCAAGCACCTGCAAATGTCCCTCCACAGGTGGAGGAGGAAAAGGAACACTTAAAAAAATCCTAGGTATGCATCAGTAGGGTTTTACCCATATCAAAAAAATACACACTGGGAACTTTGGAGGATCCCGTAGAGGGTAGAGACTTAGCTATCATCTTGAGCAGTTTTTACATAGTAGAATCTGCATACTTTAGGAGAGAATAGGAATTTTATTTTTTTTAGAGTTGAAATGAAGCCAAAGAAGAAATGTACGTAGGAGTCTTCTAGCTGTAATAACATGAATCCTTGGCTCCCAATGAGTTGATTCCAGATCATCCCTGTCATCAGTGTACTTTAGAGGACTCGCTCTCTCTTTTTTTTTTTTTTTTTTTTAAAGCAGTTGGAGCTTGAAGGGATTCATGCCAATTCTCCAGAGTGAAAGGGAATTCAGCATTGCAGGTCTCTGGATTATCTGAAGTGGCTCCTTTTTTTTTTTCTTTTAATAGAGATCTGAGATTTCAAAATTTTGGCGAAAAAATTGCAGCTGTTTCATTAGTACAGAAATAGAATGACTTTGCAAATAGGCTTAAATGGATTAGAAAATCTGATGTTGGATAACAAGCTAGAATAGGCATGACTCCAGTCCCAGCACATGTGTGCGTGGTGAACACAGTGCTAACCATAGCAAGACTTTCTGTACAGGGAATATTTATTTTCCAAACTGGTATTTTCTGTGCCAGTTTGTGATTGCGATATATAGACTTGCTGAGGGGCAGGTACTAAGCTTGTGTTTAGAGAACTGGGGAAAATACTGGTAGTGGTAAGGAACAGGAGCCTTTGAGGCTTACGACTCTGGTTCAAAATATGCTCTTCTGCTTTCCTGTGCTCTGGGAGGGTTGCATAACTTCTCTGAGCCTCATTTTCCCTATCTGTAAAATGGGGACTGTGGTAATACAGTGCATCCTTATAATTCTCACACTGTTGTCAGAGGTAAGTGAAATAATGCTTCTAAAGTGTTAAAATAGTAAATTAAATATTCATTAGCTTGAAATACACAGCACACTTGCACTAAGAACAAAAAAACCTAATCCCCAAACACCTTGAAATGAAAAATATGTTGATAACATGGCCAGATTTTGTATTTACATGCTAATCTAACCCTTAGAATTTACAGTTTTTGCCTTTTACCAGAATGTGAACATATGAATATTTTCAACTTCATAATTTTATTGCATGTTTTATATGGAACTTTCTAGAATTTTTTTTTTACTTGATTAGCTTCAAATCATCTGGTCTTTATTCACTGGTGAAGGATTTCATTCACTACCAGGTGGATTTTATAATCCATTAACATTCACATTTAAATAGTCTTAAAATCTGGCTCTCCATACTATCAGTCCTTAGAAAATTCAGATGGTAAGAGAGCATCTAAAACTGGCATGCTGTGGCATCCAAGAGAGCCACTTGAGAAGTACCATCTGGTATTTCTTAGGTTCTTGAGAGTGAGCATAGAATGAAACCTTATCCAGCTACATGAAGGTTTGTTTAAGAGAATATAAGAGAAAGCAAAATGAGGACACAGAGCAAGGACAGGCCTAAACTGGCAAAAAGTGTAGGTGAGGTAATTTAAGAATTCTTTTTGGGGCGCCTGGGTGGCTCAGTTGGTTAAGTGTCTGCCTTCAGCTCAGGTCATGATCCCAGGGTCCCTGGATTGAGCCCCGCATCAGGCTCCCTGCTCTGCAGGGAGTCTGCTTCTCCCTCTGCTGCTCTCGTGCTCTCCCTCACTCTCTTTCCCTCTCAAATAAATAAATAAAATCTTAAAAAAAAAAAAAAGATTTCTTTTTCTCCTTAACTGCGATAATTTCAAAATACTTCAAACCACATACACAAAAAGCAATTCTTTGCACATTGTTTGATTGGAACTGGATGATCTTCTTAGGACCAAATAGTTCTGGTGAAAAAAATATGGTATCAATTTCAAAAAGGATGCCAAATTATTCTCTACTTTGAAATTAGTCTTGATTATCCTTTGATTTCAGTGATAAGTTGAATATTAGATTTCTAACTTAAAGCACCTTTTTATAACTCATCTTGCGTCTTTGAATTAAAGAGGTTATACCTGCCTATTACTAATCTTCTGTTACTTCCTGGAGACAAAATGTTAATACAGGTTCCAGCATATAAGCATTTTAGTAACTCCTTCATTCAGGCAATCAGTCTTTATTAGGATACTTTTGACATTACAAGTGAATGTTATTAAATTGAATATAATTAGAATTTAATGTGACTAGGGTTTTCTGTTTAACTCACTATGAAATGAAGACTAGCTGTGGAGATGAAAAGGAGAGATCAGAGGTACATCTCTTGATGGGAAAAATGAAGACATGTGGAAGCAAATTCAAGCTCTCAGTAATCAAATCATGTGTTCTGGATAATTTATCTGAAGAGCTAAGAGAGTCCGCGATGTTGCAATTCACAGTGACAGGATGTGACAGCACTGTTGCAGTGAGTGGCCAATTAGGAATGATCAATACTGCAATGCCCCACAGCGATTTTATGATTCTCCACTTACACGCATAAGGACTGGAGCAGAGATAGTCTTAGAGAAGCTGGCTTAATTGCACTTGATTTACATAACCTGGCTCACTTAGAAAGGTTTTGATGAGCATTACCTGGCATTCATTTAGTTCGTTTTGAGGGCCCTATTTTGTTCCAAAGTGGATGGTTTTACTATTAAAGCCAATCTTGGAAGTCTTGTGAGTATAACACATCAGTGGAAATGGATACATGTTTTTATTTTGTATTTATTGTCTTTGGATTATATTTCTTAGCATGCAATAATAATTCCTTAGCTAGATTCATTATCATTCTTGAGAGAAACAAAGTAGAAATGTTTATTTTTGGCATGTGGTCCAGTCTCACGCAAAGAGGATCAGCCATGGAGGCCAAGTCCCCCAACTTTCTTCTCCATCTTATGGTTGAGGACACTCTTCAGCCAGACTGCCTAGCCTTGTATCTGACTCTGCCACTTATTAGTTGTTTGAACTTGGACAAGTTGCATATGTTTTTTTGCTTGTTTCCTCAGTAAAATTGGAGAAACAGTACCTACCTCAGCAGGTTATTATATGGAGTAAATGTGTTAACATATATAATGTTCTTTTGACCGTGCCTGACTCATAGTAAATGCTTAATAAGAATTTGCTGTTCATTTTACTTTGACCTTAATGGTTTAAGCTGAAGCTCTCTTTTCTGTTTTTGCATCTAAAAATTGAATCCTAAAAAAAAAAAAATAGTAGTTTAGGTTAGTTCATTTGATGGTTTTCCTGTTTTAGGTAGTGGGAGAATTTGTTTCAGAATAAGTGAAGTACTTCAAGTTTCTCAAAATAATACAACACTTTAAATAACATTTCTGGAAGTTCCCAGATGCTGCTGCTGCTGGCCAGAGACCACACTTTGAGAATCACTGCTTCAACCCACTGGTTCCCAAACTTGACTGAACATCATTATCACCTGAGCACAGTTATTTATTTATTTATTTATCTATCTATCTATCTGAGAGAGAGAAAGAAAGAAAGAGAGACGGAGGGCGAGGGGTAGAGGGAGAAGCAGACTCCCCGCTGAGCAAGGAGCAAGAAGGAAGATGTGGGACTTGATCCCAGGATTCTGGGACCATGACCTGAGCCGAAGGCAGACGCTTAACAACCGAGCCACCCAGGCACCCAGTACAGTTCTTTAGAATGTTGATACCCAAGCTGATTAAAAAAATAATCAGTTTGGTTAATTTATTGTGAAAAGAAGTAAAGTAATCATGTCCTTAGATGACATGAGAGAGACCCTGTAACATTACACATTAGTATCTGTGGGATTCCCGTGTACTCATAGCATTTTTAGAGTGCTAAGGGATATTATAATTGATCTAATATAAATGAGACAGAGGCTTGGAGGCATCATTCTTAGCTAAAGGCTTATGTTAGTTGTAACACTGGATAACAAATCAGGCTTCCTGTGTTCTACTCAGTACATTTTTCATTCAACCACCTTGCCTTCTGGAAAATCAGATAATGTGACAGAGGCACATAATCCAAGATAGATTACTATTGGAATGCTACAGATCTCCCTGTCCTGCTTAGCCCAGTTTGCTTTCAGAGTTATCTATTCAAAAGATTTCCTTATTGAAGAACCACTGAAAACATTATGTCCACCATGCCAAGAAAATAAATTTATAGCTGTCAGTTGTGAA